TTTAAAAAAAAGCCAATGAGGGGCGCCTGGGTGGCTTAGTCGGTTAAGCGTCCGACTTTCGCTTAGGTCATGATCTCGCGGTTCGTGGGTTCGGGCCCCGCGTCGGGCTCTGTGCTGACTGCCAGCTCAGAGCCTGGAGCCTGTTTCAGTCTGTGACTCCCTCTCTCTCTGACCCTCCCCTGCTCACGCTGTCTCTCTCTCTCTCTCCTAGAAATAAATAAAAACCTTAAAAAAAAAAAATTAAAAAAAAAAAAGCCAATGAAAAAGACATAAAACTATTCCTTTATGTAGATTGTGTACATAAAATTCCCAAGGGATCTCTTAAAAAGTCCCAAGAACTACTAAGTGAATTCAGCAAGATGTCAGGATTCAAATCAATGAATAAAAACCAATTGCATTTCTAGATACCAATAATGAACATATGAAAGCCAACATGAAAAGACAATTCCACTTATAACTGCCCCCAAATACAAGTAAATACTTAGGTATACAAGTAACAATACATACACAAGGTTAAGATTGTGACAATTACACAATTCTGTAGAAAGAAATCAAAGTTGACCTACATAACTGGAACACAAACCTTGTCAATGAATTAGAAGACTTAAAATAATAAAGGTATCAATTCACCCCAAGTTGATTTATAGCATTAGTGCAATTCCTATAAAAATTCCAGCAACATTTTCTAGACATAGAAAAGCTTTTCAAATCATTTACGTGGAAAGGCTCAAACTTTGCAATAGCTAAAACAATCTTGACAAAAAAGAATTAAATTTGTAGGAATTATTCTACCTGATATTAAGTCCTAATATATAGCTGCAGTAATCAAGACAATGGGGTATGGGTGTGGGAAAAGACATACAAATCAATGGAAAAGAATATAAAACCCACAGATAGACTCATCTGAGTACAGCCCACTGATTTATGACAAATATGCACATTAATTCAATGGAGAAAAAAACAGCCTTTATAACAAATAGCACCAAAGCACCTGGATAACCTTTTGTTAAAAAAATTAACATTGACCTAAACCTCAACCCTATACAATAATTAACTCAAAGTCTATCAAAGTAAATCATGAACTTAAATGTAAAAGATAAAACTATAAATTTTTAAAAAAATAGAGAAAATCTTCCAGATCTATACCAAAGATAAAAGTGATAAATTGAACCTCATCAAAATTTAAAATGTTTCACTTGCAAAATGCCCTGTTTGATAAAAGACCAGCTAAGACTTGGGAGAATTATTTGCAAACTACATACCTAACAAAGGACACACATACAAAATATAAAGAACTCTTAAAAATCCATAAGAAAAAGCTAATCCAATTACAAAATGAGCAAAAGAGCAATCCTTATCAAAATAACACCAGCATTCTTCACAGGGCTAGAACAAACAATCCTAAAATTTGTATCCAACCAGAAAAGACCCCAAATAGCCAAAGCAATCCTCAAAAGAAAATCAAAGCTGGAGGCATCACAATCCCAGACTTCAAGATGTATTACAAAGCTGTAATCAAGACAGTATGATACTGGCACAAAACAGATGGTTAGATGAGTGGAACAGAATAGAGAACCCAGAAATGGACCCACAAACGTATGGCCAACTAATCTTTGACAAAACAGGAAAGAATATCCAATGGAATAAAGAAAGTCTCTTCAGCAAATGGTACTGGGAAAACAGGACAGCAACATACAGAAAAATGAACCTGGACCACTTTCTTACACCATATAGAAAAATAAACTCAAAATGGATGAAAGACCTAAATGTAAGACAGGAAGCCATCAAAATCCTGGAGGAGAAAGCAGGCAAAAACCTCTTTGACCTTGCTGCAGCAACTTCTTACTCAACATGTCTCTGGAGGCAAGGGAAACCAAAGCAAAAATGAACTATTGGGACCTCATCAAAATAAAAAGCCTCTGCAGAGCAAAGGAAACAATCAGTAAAACTAAAAGGCCACTGAGGACAGATTGGGAGACAATATTTGCAAATGATACATCAGATAAAGGGTTAGTATCCAAAATCTATAAAGAACTTATCAGACTCAACACCGAAAATCTAAGTCCAGTGAAGAAACAGGCAAAAGACATGAATAGACACTTGTCCACAGAAGACATCCAGATGGCAAACAGACACATGAAAAAATGCTCAACATTACTCTTCGTCAGGGAAATACAAATTAAAACCACAATGAAATACCACCTTACTCCGGTCAGAATGGCTAAAATTAACAACTCGGGCAACGAAAGATATTGGAAATGATGCAGAGAAAGAGGATCTCTTTTGCACTGCTCTTGGGAATGCAAACTGGTGCAGCCACTCTGGAAAACAGCATGGAGGTTCCTCAAATAATTAAAAATAGAGCTACCCTATGACCCCGAAATTGCACTACTAGGTATTTATCCAAAGGTTACAGGTGTGCTTTTTCAAAGGGGCACATTCACCTCAATGTTTATACTAGTGCTACTGACAATAGCCAAGGTATGGAAAGAGTCCAAATGTCCATCAATGGTTGTATGATAAAGAAGATGTGGTTAGCCAATGTATGGAAAGAGCCCAAATGTCCATCGATGGATGAATGGATAAGGAAGAAGTATATATAATGGAGTACTACTTGGCAATCAGAAAGAATGAAATCTTGCCATTTGCAACTATGTGGATGGAACTAGAGGGTATCATGCTAAGTGAAATTAGTCAGTCAGAGAAAGACAAATATCATATGACTTCACTCATATAAGGACTTTAAGATACAAAGCAGATGAACCTAAGGGAAGGGAAGCAAAAATAATATAAAAACAGGGAGTGGATCAAGAAGATGTGGTTTATCTGTAACATGGAATACTCCATGGCAATGAGAAACAATGAAATCTGGCCATGTGTAGCAACATGGATGGACCTTGAGGGTGTTATGCTGAGCGAAATAAGTCAGGCAGAGAAGGACAAATACCATATGTTTGCACGTATAGGAGGATTAGGAGGAACTTGACGGAGGACCAAGGGGGAGAAGAAGGGCGGAAATGGTGGGGGAAAGGGAG